TCAGACGAGCCCAACTCATGCTATCGTGGCCATTTGGGGGAGTGAACTGGCAGATGGAAGATCTTTTTTCTGTTTTCCCTCTCTTCCTATGAATCTTCCTATCAAATAAATAAAATTAAATTAAAAAGAGAGAGAGAGGGAGGGACAGACAGAGAGCTTTCATTGGCTGGTTGCCTCTCTAGTGGCAGCAATGGCCAGAGCTGGGCCAGGTTGAAGCCAGGAGCCTGGGACTCCATCGGGTTTCCCATAAGTACTTCAGACATCTGCTGTTGATTTCTCAAGTACACGAACAGGAAGTGGGATTAGAAGTGGAATAGCCGGGACCCAAACCAGTGTCCGTGTGCGATGCTGGCGTCACAGGCAGGTTTAACCCACTGTGCCACAGAGCTGGCTTTTTCTTTCTCCATCCCTGTCCTTCCCCTGGGCCCTCCTCTCTCTCCCTTCCCCTCCTTTTCTTCTTTCCTTTCCTCCCTTCTCCCACTTTCTTCCCTTTTTCTCCTTGTTCTCTCTCCCCCTCCTTTGCTTTTGTCCTCTCTTAACTTCTTTCACTCTACTCTAAAGCTGTTCTTTGTAGAAAATAGAACTGTAAGTGTGAGGCCACGTTTTCATTAAAAAAACGAATGAACAAACAAACAAACAAACTCATTTCAAGGAACCCAACTCCCAACAAGGTAAATGCAAAACTGATTGAAATTTTTGTGAAATCTCTAAGTTCCCACTACACCGGGGAAACAGCAAGAGGCTTCCAGAAAGCTGAAGACTGACTGACTCAGCGTTGCCCTGGCAACAGGCAGGCCTGCCTTGGTCCCTGATCCCTTAATCTGAGGAGCTGCCACACAGTGCCTTGGGAAAGCTCTCCCACCAACACCTGGCTTGGTTAACGCTGTCCTGCCGACAGGTGGCTGGTTCTGGCAGAGACAGACCCCCCCCTCCCCAAGGGCTGCCCAGGCGGTTGCACCGCCCAGGGGTCAGCTTAGAGCCTGGGGCTGCTATGGCTCCTGCAGATGGTGTGATCCAGGCTGCCGGAACCTTTTGTGTTCCCATGAAACCCAATGTTTTGCACACATGTGTGCTCAATAAATACAGGAGACCGGTGGGCGGGCGGTGTGTGTGTGGGGGTGGGGTTACTCATGCCCTCTCTGCCGCACACAGCGCGGACTGGCCCCCTGGTGGCCCCTCTGCCCGCCCAGCCCCCCATCTAGCTGCCCCACTTGCGGGACAGGGCCTTCCTGTCTCTAGAATGCTTTCCTATTCTTGTGCTCATTCCACGCAGAGCGTGCGTGGCTGCCTTGATAGGATATATTCCGTTTCCCTTAACTACATGCGAGTCAGACATTCAGGGCTTGGGAATGGCTTTGTGGAGGGCAGAGCGAGACCCAGAGAGGGCTGCCTCTTCTCTCTTCAACAACCATTCCAGGCCCAGGGGAAGAACTGCAGGCCAAATCTGTGGGCTCTGCAGGGACAACATTAAGTTCAAGTCCCAATTTTGCCATCTGGTTGATGGGTGACTTTGGGCCCACTTATCCTCCTTGAGCCTCAAGTTCATTGCCAGAAGCCAGGCATCATTATGCACTCATCAGAGGCATGCAGGGGAATGAAAATTCTTCAAGAAGGGGCTGGTACCATGGTTCAACAGGATAGTCCTCTGATAGCAAGTGTCAGCATCCCATATGGGCATGGTCAGTGCTCTGTCCACTTCTGATCCAACTCCTTGGGAAAGCAGTGGAGGATGGCCCAAGTCCTTGGGACATTGCACCCTCATGGGAGACCTAGAAGAAACTCCTGGTTTTGGATCAGCTCAGTCTTGGCTGTTTTAGCCATTTGGGTAATGAACCAGTGGATGAAAGACCATTTCTTGCTGAAAAATTAGCCTTCCAAATAAAAATATATAAAAAAAAAATTCTTGGGCCCAGCGTGGTGGCCTAGCGGCTAAGGTCCTCGCCTTGAACATGCTGGGATCCCATATGGGCGCCGATTCTAATCCCGGCAGCTCCACTTCCCATCCAGCGCCCTGTCTGTGGCCTGGGAAAGCAGTGGAGGATGGTCCAAAGCCTTGGGACCCTGCACCCGTGTGGGAGACCCAAAAGAGCTCCAGGCTCCTGGCTTCGGATTGGCTCAGCTCCAGCCGTTGTGGGAGCTTGGGGAGTGAATCATTGGATGGAAGATCTTCCTCTTTGTCTCTCCTCCTCTCTGTATATGTGACTTTCCAATAAATAAATAAATAAATCTTTAAAAAAAAAATCATTGGCATAAAAAAATGTTCCAAAGAAGAAACATCCGATCAGCAGCAGTTTCTCTTTGGATACATGCCTCTGTGGACAAGGGCGAGTGAGGAGGCTTAGCCTGACTTACTCACGCGCTGGAGGGCAGCCAAGGAAACCACTGGGAGAGCACCGGACATCCCAGGGCAGTGGGCAGCGACCACTGGCCAGCCACAGGCTGAGTGGCTCGCATACCCCCAGTCCACTCCAGCATCAGGACCCCAGTGCAGCTGCCCTTGTGGCTAGATGTGCATTTCCTCACAACAAAACCACTTCCGCCTGTGGAGGAAGTGTCTGTTAGGGATTCATCCTTGGGATGCATGACCAGCCCACCACCCACCTGCCGCAAGCTGGTAGTGAAATAAGCCAATGTATGCCAATGTCTTTGCTACATATTTATTCAAGTCTCAGAACAATGGGACCTGTGGTATTCCCATTTAACAGATGAGGAAGCTGATGTTCTGGTAATGAACTTGATTAAGGATACACAAGCATCAGGTCTCAATCTGGCTGCTCGGCTCCAGTGTTTTTTAGTGGACTTGTGTTGTCTGCTGTTGGTCTTTGATTGCCAGTAGCTATCAGGGTGGACAGGAAGAGAGCAGCACAATCCTTCCGGGGAGTCAGGACAAGGGTGGGGATGGTTTTGGGTGGGGAGAGGGCGGAGGGCGGAGGAGGAACAGCGATACAGCGATCCAAGACATGAAGTGGGGTGTGGAACCCTGGAATGGCGAGGCAGAGGCACAGAGACCCTCAGAGCCCAGCCTACCTAAGTCCCGCTCTTCGACTATATTTGGTTTATTCCACTTAAAAAACCAGATGTCCAGGAAAGGAGACTCTTAAGCCCTGCCCTGTTTGCCCCCACAGTGCCCAGATAGGTTCACATCACAAATGTCCCCCATTTCAATGCCAGCCCAAACCGCCTGGCTGAGCCACAACAGTCCTCCCCAGAGGCCCTCCACAGCGCCTCTCTGCTAACCTCTCTCCGGCCTGCCAGTAACCCTGTCCACCTGCATGTGTGACCTGCCCACAGGACACGGATCGCCCGCACAGCCTTTGTCATGCTCACCTGAGCCCAGGGTTCCACTGACATCCTGTCTCTCTCTGACAGTCCTCACAGGTTCTCAGAAAACACCCAGTTCGAACTCCACAGCCTTGCAAATCCTAGCTCCAAGACACCTTCTGCACGCCCAGCCTGCCCCAAGGCAGCACTCGGCCATTTCCCTGCTGCGCATGCCCTTCAGCCAGCTCAGCTCAACAGATGGCGTCTGCCATGGCTCCCCTGTCCTTGCCCCACTTCGGCCTTCAAGACCATGCCCAGCTGTTTTTCATCTCTGGCAATCTTCCTTCTCCTACAGGTCCACCTGGGGGAGCCAGCCTGCCCCCTGCGGGCCAGGTGGTCCCTATTCCCTGCTGGGTACCTTGTGCATGGTGCAGACAAGCAAAACGACCTGTCTGCTTTCTCCCCAGCTCTCCAGCTGGCCCCTAGGGCCGCTCACAGCAGGCTCTGGCTTCCCCTCCAGCCCCCTCACGTCCATCCCTCTGGCTGCCACCCCGGTGTCCGACCTTCCCTGGAGCACTCAGCAGTGTACTGAGAGAAGCCACAGCCTTTTATGTGTGAGCCTGTGCCCTTCCTCCCGGGCGCTTCAGCTGACCCAACTTTCACAAAGGAGGAAAGGTGCTGATAATCTCTCCGTCCCCCAGCCCCCACTTCAAGGTCAAGAACACACTGCCTCGTCCTTGCAAGTTATCTTTCTTAAGCTTTCCCATCCGTATCTCGTCCTGAGCTGCCCTGGCCTGTTTCCCTGCCTCCCCAGGTCACGGGCTGAGCCCTGGGCTCGGCTGGCCTCCAGGTTTGGCCCTCTGCATTTGTTTGCTGTGGGCCATGGCTGAGCCCGGCAGCAGTCAGAGCAGACCACGCTGTGGGCCATGGCCTACGCCTCAGAAATGGGAGAAAGCTGGAGGCTGATCGGAAATTAAGACAGCAGAAACCAGCGTTTGCTAGGGCAGTCAGCAGATCGAAGGTGGCTTTTGTGCTGCATTCAAATATAAAAACACCCTGACCCGGTGCCCTTTGTGGCTTCCCCAAAGACTGGCACCATGGGCCCCTGTGGCCCTTCCATGCACCTTGCTGCTTCTCTCCACTGCTGTGCCAGCTACGCTTCCAGCAGGGCAGGGAGGCCTGGCTTTTTGCTATGGGCCATTCTTTCCAGCTCATTCAAAACCTGTTCCTCTCCCTGACCTTTCTAGTCGACCAGGCCTCAATCTGTCCCTGTGGGCACCAGGAGAGTCAGGCACCAGGAGTTCCCATCTCTCACTAGTCCTGGCTGCTACTTCTGGCTGGTCCCAGCCGGGCTCTGCCCTTCTACCTTATAACCCTGCTTCTTCCCCACCAACAGTGCGCAGAGAGCATAGGAGAACGCTGACCACTGACAGTAACCTAGGCACACGGCCCACCCGGGGGAGGGTCACCTCTCAACCCCTTCCCCTCAACACCAAACAAAAATGGCAAACAGGAAACGCTCGTCTTTTAAAAATTACTCTATTATTATCAAATAGAACCACAGTATCCAAAAGGTAATTATAAAGTTCTATGCCCAACTAAGAGGTCCTGCACCGCCCCTCCGACTGGCCGGCGGCCAAATCACTGCCCCGTGCTGATTGACTTCATCCATTTTATTGTCAAGGAAATGAACAGCCTGAAGGGGGGGTTCCCCAGACCCCCCCACCTCACTCTCCCCCCCGCCCCTGGAGCCCCCGGGGGAAACACGGCAGCAAGCGACCTGGTGTCACTACCTCCAGGTCCTTGGGAGAAGGGATGAAAGGAGGGTGGGGGGCTCACAGCAAGACTCCAGGGCGCCCCGCCTCCGCCAGCTGGGTCAGGGCCCGGCACACGCTCTCCAGTGTCCGAGACGGGGGCCCGGGCACACGCACCTGGCCGCTGGGTGGCGGCGGCGGGGCGCTGGCTCACTCGCCCGTGTGGGTCCGCAGGTGGTACTTGAGCGACTGCTTGTAGCGGAAGCACTTGGCGCAGTGCGTACAGGGGTAGGGCCGCTCGCCCGTGTGCGCGCGTTGGTGCTCCAAGAGGTGGTGCTTCTGCGTGAAGCGCTTGCCGCACTCGGCGCAGTGGTAGGGCCGCTCGCCCGTGTGGATGCGCCGGTGCTCCAGCAGGTGATGCTTGCGGATGAAGCTCTTGCCGCACTCCGGACAGGCGTGCGGCCTCTCGCGCGAGTGCACCCGGCAGTGGTTGGTGAGCTTGGACTTCTCGCTGAAGCTTTTCTCGCACTCGGGGCACTTGAAGGGCCGCTCGCCCGTGTGAGTCCGCTGGTGGCGCAGCAGGTGCGACGGGCGGCTGAAGCTCTTGCCGCACAGGCTGCAGATGAAGGAGACCTCGTGCTTTCCGGCGTGCACACGCTGGTGGATCACCAGGCTGATGTGGAGGCGGAAGCTCTTCTTGCACTCTGGGCACGTGTAGGGCCGCTCGCCCGTGTGAGTGATCTGGTGCTTGGTCAGGCTCGACTTGTGGCTGAAGCTGCTGTCGCACTCGGCGCACTTGTAGGGCTTGGGGCCGCCACCGCCGCTGACGGAGCTGGGCGACTTGGGGCGCGGCTTGAGCGCGTGCTTGGGGTTGAAGGAGGGCCCGCGCTCGGGCGAGCCGTAGCCCCCGCGCACGCGGTGGATGCGCTGGTGCAGCGTGAGCTGCTGCTTGTGCCGGAAGCTGATCTCGCACTCGGCGCACTCGTAGGGCCCCTCCTTGATGTGGTTGCGCTGGTGGATGATGAGGTTGATCTTGAGCCGGAAGCTCTTGCCGCACTCCATGCACGTGAAGGGCCGCTCTCCGCGCCGGTTCCGCTGCTGCTGACTCGATGACCCGCGGTTGTCATTGTGGTGCCGCTCGCCACGCACCGAAGGCGCCAGCCTCTTCACTGCGGGGTTGCCCAGCGGCAGGGGCGGGGGGCTCTCCTCGCCTTCTGGGGACATCTCCCCAGGCAGCGGGGTCTGATACAGGCTGGCGTCGTATCTTCCCGACAGCTGGCCCAGGGACTGGAGGTGCTGGGGGAGCTCGTCCTCCTCCTCCTCTTCCTCCTCCTCTTCCTGTTCCTCAGTCTTGATCACAATGCCTTCTGTTCCAGGGACAGAGAGAGAAGGGACATTAGCCACTGCTCAGAGCAAGGGGGTGTAAGTGGTTGCACCTTCACCGACTCTCGGGCCCCTAAACCACTGAGGGGGTGAAGCCGGTATTCTTCAGCAGTAAGAAGCATCGCGGACAATGTGATCAAGCATGTCCATTTACTGTAATGCAAGCACAAACTTACAGACCAAGAAAGGGGAAGGCAAGCAGGCGTCTCCCGATGGGCCTCCCACTGTAATTGGCTGGAAGGCATGTCTATCTACCCTCCAGTCACGTCATAGGTCAGGTACAACTCCTCATCCTCCAGGTTCCCCTGGGAACATGGTGAGCTGGGTGCCTGTGACCTCCCACACAGACCAAGCAGGCAGAGATCCAGGGGCCAGCTCCCACAACCAACAAATGGCACATAGATATCATTGACCCCGGCTCCTGTACTGCTCAGCAAGAGCTGTACGGGATGGGGGTTTGGGGGTGGCTGGCCTCAGGGTTTGGTTCAGGAAAGAGACGGACCCAATATGGGTCACACTGGAGACCCATCTGGGAATTTACTGCAAAGGGAGCTGGGGAAGCCTGGTTCTGGCTCGTCTTGGCAGCAAGCTGCTGGTAGACTGGAACCTAGCAGGAGGAAGGCAGCCGATCTGGGCTGGGAGGAGAGCACCCATCTCCAGCTGTGCCCCAAACTGGCATAGCGCAAAACACGCTGAATCCTGGAGTAATTAATGCCCCTTGACTGTGTGGGCTGTTTCAGCATGGGGTTGTAGCAGCTGGATCAAGGGGTCTCGGCTCATGAAGTACTCAGTCCCTTCTGCTGCATCCTTACCCACAGGCCTCACCCTCTCTGCTCTGGCTCACCCAGACTGGCCTGCTATGCTGAGTCTGCTTGGAGAGCTTTCCTGCCACGTCTTTACCTGGCTACCTCCCTGCCCTGGTCTTCCTCGAAGACCCCACATGGCAGCAGTCTGCCCCTGCTGAGTTCCCCACAACACACACCCCAACTTTAGAACAGGCCTCGCCTGGCGTAGCTCATGCACAGTCCTATCCACCAAGCTCAGGTGGGTTCTCCCTGTCTCCCTCGCAGCTCTGGGGTGCAGGTCTAAGCACACCAGGCATGGATGTCCCTGGTGTCCCCAACTCTCCACTCTCTCGCCTGACTCTGCAGGACCTAGACCATGTCAAGACATACAGTGGCCCCTGAGCACGTAAGTTCTAGAGAATATGCAGTTCTGATGCCTCTTTGAAGCCTCCCAGGCGTCATGGATGTGGCGGGCCACTCCTCGAGCACGGCGAATGGGAGAGTTCTATGTGTAGTGGCTGACTGTGCCACAACGCTCCAGGAGACTTCCTTGCATTTAAGGGTTGTGCTGTCCCCTCTGCCGTCCACACATGCAGCATCAAGCATGGTAAAAACGAAGTCTTTGGTCCTAAAAATCACATCTCAATTCCACCCACTCTTGCTCACTTTCCCAAGGTTCTACTAGAACCAGTGCTCCGACCAGCCACGTGGGACTTAAGATCTTCCTCTGTCTCTCCTCCTCTGTCTCTCTACATCTGACTTTCCAACTGAAAGAAAGAAAGAAAGAAAGAAAGAAAGAAAGAAAGAAAGAAAGAGAGAAAGAAAGAAAGAAAGAAAGAAAGATCTTAAAAAAAATTTCAGGATTTAGACCAAGGTTGATGTCTGAAACATTAAAGGAAGAAAGGCAAATGATAGAGAAATAATCTATAGATAAAAGAAATTAAATACTTTTACAACCCTAAACCTACAGATGTGGATTCATCTAAGTATAATCAGTAATATGAAAATATGTGGTTAAAGATTCACCCATGAACAAAACAACAACAAAACCCAGAGTTCTACCAAATTTTTCAGAATGCAGAATAAAAAACAAAAGCTGCCCTACGCATTTGGTAAGTTAATGATCTACTATTTCCAAAACTAGATGAAGATAATTCAAGAAAAGTTCAGATTCATTTTATTAATATAGTTGTAAAACTGAGTAGGGGAATAAAAAACAAACAAACAAACAAAAAACCTGAGTAGGGGGCCTGGTGTGGTAGCCTAGCGGCTGAAGTCCTCGCCTTGAACGTGCCAGGATCCCATATGGGCACTGCTTCTAATCCCAGCAGCCCCACTTCCCATCCAGCTCCCTGCCTGTGGCCTGGGAAAGCAGTCAAGGATGGCCTAAAGCCTGGGGACCCACGTGGGAGACTGGGAAGAGGCTCCTGGTTCCTGGCTTCGGATGGGCTCAGCTCCAGCTGTTGTGGCAGCTTGGGGAGTGAATCAACGGACAAAAGATCTTCCTTTCTGTCTCTTCTCCTCTCTGTATATCTGACTTTGCAATAAAAATAAAATAAATCTTGAACAACAACAACAAAATGGAGTAAGGGGGCTGGCGTTGCGGCATAGTGGTTAGGCCAACATCCCATTTGGGAATCATTTTGAGTTGCAGCTGCTCCACTTTCAATCCAGTTCCCTATTGATATGCCTAGGAAAGCAGCAGGAAGTGTTCTGGTCCCTACCGCCTATGTGGGAGACCCGGATGAAGCTTCTGACTTCAGCCCTGCCCAGCCCGGTCCTGGCCACTGCAGCCACATGGGGAGCAAACTACGAAAGATGGGAGATCGCTTCCTGCTCCTTTCTCCGTGTAACTCTGTCTTTAAAGTAAATAAATACATAGTAGAAAAATCTCCCAGTACAATCTGTGTGACCTAAGCCTGGAGTGTACGTGAGACACACACAAGACACTGAGTGTGGGTTTTCCCAGGGCCACGGGGACAGTGCAGCACCACGCTTTCAGTCACTAAACATGGGTGCCGTGAGTTCTCTCTGGTCCAGCACCCGCAGGGAGCCACAGCGACCTGAATGGTGACATTGTGGCTTCACAACCAGGCACAAACATCGGCTGTCACAGAAGGACAGGACGGTGGTCACTGTTAAAAACATGCCCTCAGGCCCAGCACGGTAGCATAGTGGCTAAATCCTCGCCTTGCAACCGCCGGGATCACACATGGATGCCAGTTTGTGTCCCAGCTGCTCCACTTCCCTTCCAGCTCCCTACTTGTGGTCTGGGAAAGAGGTGGAGGACGGCCCAAAGCCTTGGGACCCCGCACCTGCGTGGAGACTGGAAAGAAGCTCCTGGCTTCAGATCAGCACTAAGGGAGTCAGCCAGTGGACGGAAGACCTTTCTGTCTTTGTAAAACTGCCTTTCCAATACAGATAAATAAATCTTAAAAATCAAAAACAAAGATAAACATACTCTGGGGGATTGAAGCCTACAGGTTTGCTGAGGCGTCCAGGAAGGCCCGAGATGATCAATGACTCTGGCTTTGCCACCATCTGTGTGACTTTGGACGACCTCCCTGACTTTCTCTGCTGGCAGCATGAGAAGGCTGGATGGCTCATCTCCAAGATCCCTTTTGAGTCCTATCTAAACAAGTCTTTGCCTGTAACAACTTCTTGCTTAACTCAGATATAGATATAAAGTCTCAGAGAAGCTTCATTCAGTGGACAGCAAACCCACGCCAGGCCCACACTTAGGGCTGTCTCCCAGTATGTCTCCATCCAGGCAGAGCCTGCCCGGGAGGCAGGGCCCCGGTGGCAGCCGCTCCCTGCCTCCCCAGCTCGCAGAGTACCTGCACAGTTTCTCTGCTGCACCAGCATCTGCTTGAGCTCGCTGAACTCGCCCGAGCCTTCTGTGGACTCCTCCAGCGTGTTCTCCTGCTCTGCCATGTCCAGGTCCGGCTGCTCCCCGCAGGGGTCCCCCAGCTCCGAGTCCGGAAAGCCGTGTTCCTCTACTTGTCCCGTCAGGGGCTCCGGCGTCTCCAGGCTCTCGGGGTCCTCGTCGTTGGTCTGCACTTCGATCTTAATCACGATGCCATCGTGTGCTGAGAGCGGGGGAGAAGAGAACAGGCTCAGGCCGGCTGCCCAGAGTCCACAGCCCTAGGAGCTGCGTTTAACGGGAGTTACCATAGCAAGTGGGTGCTGAGTGGACACGGTCTTCTGGACTCTCCGTAGCCTTGAACAACAGTGAAAACTGGAGTCAACGTCAAGTAGATGAGAGGAAGAGAGACAGAGAGAAGAAGATCTTCTTAGAACCAGCTCCCATATGGGATCCGAGCCCACCTTAGCCGGGAGGCTACCGTGCTGGGCCCCATGTGATTTTTTTAAAGGGTATATAATTCAGAAAAAGTTTAGAGAATCAAGTGGCAATCTATGCATGGATGTAAATGAGGTTTCCCAATGTTTGCCTTTATAAAGCTGAAGAAGAATAGAATTGATTCTGAATTCTGTCTTCATTCTACTATAAGAATATGTATTTAGTGCCTGATAAGAGAACTAATTGGGGGAAAATTCGTGTTTCTCCTTAATCTTGGATAATTGTTTTTCATTCCATAGGGGCAGTCACTAAGTGTAGCTTAGGCCAGGAGAAAAAACGAACACTTGCCGCCCTGTGGTTTATTAGAAATGAAAGCAAATTTAAACTTTCACTATATGTACACATTTTTGGTGGCATGGTGGCAGATGAGATAATCAGTAAGGGACTTCTAAGCATGAAAATATGTTCTATTAGGATAACATTCTGTGGGCAAAGTGGGAATGGAAATTGAAATTCAAGGTGGTGAAAAGGAATGACATTAAAATTCCAGCAACCAAAGAAGAACTTGTCTGTGACTGTTTTAAGTGAGTAACGGTGGGTTTAAAATTGCCAGGGAGCTTAGATGCCACTGGTGACCTTAAAGGAAGATGGAAGAGTTTGCTCCAAAATATCAATATTTACAATACTCCAGGCGTCACAGCTTTTACCGTTACTGATGCCCTTTATGCATTTAGTTTAAAAGGTACAAGGGAGATGTTCATGGTTTTCCAAAAAAAAAAAAAAAAAAAAAAAAACTGGGCTTAGGGAAAAGGCAAGCAAAGTATTTTCAGGAGTTAGTGAAGTCAAGGAAAGCCACGCTTCTGGAGGCAGCCTGCTGACTTAGCACACGGAGAGGGAAGAGACGAGTCGGGGAGTCCAGCGGCAGGGAGAAGGCCTGGGAAGGCAAAGCAAACAGGGGAGGGTTTAGGTGGACGGGGAGGGAACAGGAGCGCGGCTGCTGAGACTAGGGTGGAAGTCGGGCAGCAGTGTGTGATGACTGGTGTCGCTGTAACAGGACACTTCCAGCTAGGTACTCCAAAAAGAAAAAAGGTTTATGTAGCTCCCAGGTTAGGCGGTCCCAGAGTGTGTCCCGGTGTTTGTAAGGGCCTTCTGACTGCATCAGCACACATTACAGGGCATCACGGTGGGAGTGTGGGCAAGAGAGAGACGGACTGTGAGGGGGACAGAAAGTGAGAGACTAGCGAGGGGCCAGCTGTCCTGCCTTTATTTTTTTTTTAAAGGTTTATTTATTGGGCTCTGTACGGTAGCCTGGTGGCTGAGGTCCTCCTCACCAGGATCCCATTTGGGCGCCGGTTCATATCCCAGTGGCCCCGCTTCCCATCCAGCTCCCTGCTTGTGACTGGGAAGGCAGTGGGGGACGGCCCAAAGTCTTAGGACCCTGCACCTGTGTGGGAAACCGGGAAGAAGTTTCTGGCTCCTGGCTTCGGATTGGTACAACTCCTCTGGCCTTTGTGGCTGCTTGGTGGTGAATCAGTGGACAGGAGATCTTCCTCTCTCTCTCTGCGTCTCTCTGTGTATCCGACTTTCCAATAAACATAAAATAACAAATCTTTTTTAAAAAATCACATGGCTGATATCACAAAAAATCACTTTTAATGACCTAGTAGCTAAATACTGAAAAGAACCTAACTCGCAAAAGCATCTGCTGTGGACCCCTGGACACACACCCTGGCATTCTGTATCCTCTCCCTGCCGACTCGAGGGTCTTGTCCCTTGGACAGACGCTCCTAATAATGGAGAGATGGGCAAGAGGTGCCTTTTTCTATTTTAAAGATAGTGGGAAAGATAAGGGAACGAAGAGCCTCATGTCAAGGGGTGGTAGGCTTTTGGCTGAACAACAGACGGGCTGAGAACCTTGAAACTGAACCCTGAAAACCACCAATGCTGTTCTTCATAGAGAGCCCCCCGTCCTATCCAGAGCCTGGTCACCCCAGCTTGCAGACCAATGCCTTCATCACCTGTTCCTACCTCAAGATCCCTCTCCAACCTCAACCGAATCCAACTGTGCCCCTCGGAACCGCAAGTGCTGCTCAGCTTCCCTCCACACACTCAGCTGCTTCCCCTCCAGACAGGCGCCTGACTGTGCAGCATGGAAGCCAGTGCTTCCCGCCAAAATCGTCCTCACCCCAAACAACTTTCAAGAGTACCGACAACTGCGTTTCATTTGTGATTGGGAATTTGTTCTCCAACTAAATAATAATAATAATAATAATAATAATAGGAGGTGCGCATTTGGCGTAGTAGTTTAGCACAGCTACACTGCTTGAAACACCTGCTTCCCGCTGTGGGGTCCTGGTGCCACTATTGCAGCTCGCTGCTAATGTTCATGTCCCAGCTGCTCCACTTCCCATCCAGCTCTCTGCTTGTGGCCTGAGAAAGCAGTCGAGGACGGCCCAAAGCCTTGGGACCCTGCACCTGTGTGGGAGATCCAGAAGAAGCTCCTGGCTCCTAGCTTCAGATCAGCTCAGCTCTGGCCACTGCGGCACTTGGGGAGTGAATCATCGGACAGAGGATCTTCCTCTCTGTCTCTCCTTCTCTGCAAATTTGCCTTCCCAATAAAAATAAATTTTAAAAAAGTTTTTACAAATTAGCCATAATGTTGACAGTGAAAAACTGGGCAAACGGAGACTCTAAGGTGGATTATGTCAGCCAGTGGATTCTGGAGAGATTTCATCGTGCTTGGAGTGGCGAGATTGGCAGCAATTCATAACTGCTGAACTATCAAAACCACTTGAGCAGGACCGTCGGAGCATGCCCTACAACAGGGACCTGGGATGGGTGGGAGGCTGGGTGGGGCTTCTCCCTTTATCTTTCCCTTTACCTCAGATACAGGGAAAAAAAACAATGTGGAAATAAGTCTTACCTACTTTTCTGTAAAAAAAAAAAAAGTTTTTATAAATCAAAATAATCTAAAATAATGGAAAAAAGATAAATTACAGAATAAGACATGCAAATGCTAGTAATCAATATAAGTCTGAAAAAATAGCCAATATCACCATTATAGAAAGTTGAAGAAAACATAAAAATATTGTTGTGGTACCTGTCACTTTGGCAAAAACCAAAAAACAGAAACAAAAACAAAAAACCAAAAAAAACCCAGAAAAATAAATAATACCTGCTACTGGCATGGCTATGTGGATGAAGGCTACTTACGTTTCTAGTGATTTTGAGGGGTTTTTGTCAGCACCTATTAAATATTTAAATTGAACATATCTTTTGATATGTTCATAGAAAACATTCCTAAAAATATTTTGGGGGCCACTGTTGTGGCACAATGGTTAAGTTAACTGCTTGTGACGCTGGTGTCTTCTGTCAGAGCACTGGTTTATGTCCCCAGCTACTCTATTTTCGATTCAGTTTCCTGGGAAGGCAGTGCACGCTGCCCCAGGTCCTTGGGCTCCTGGCACCCACATAGGAGATCTAGCCCCCTGGCCATAGCCTTGTCCAGCCCTGGACATTGGAGCCATTTGGGGGGGTTACCTGGGGAATGAAGATTTCTTTCTCTGTCTCTTCCTTTTGTCATTCTGCATTTCAAATAAATCTCTAAATTGGATACGTGTATAACGTTCTATTCATGAGGAACTTTTACTGAAGCACAACAGCTTTTGAATAACCCACATACACATCAATGGAAGAATATTTAAATAAATTATGAAATCAATACATAGCATAATACAGTCTGCTATTAGAACAAGATTATATACTGACATGTAAAGATGTCGAAGATAAATCATGCAAAAGGGCTATTTGCCAAATAATACACAATGTGAATCTATTTACATATTATTCATATAATTAAGGCCATAGGAGAGAGAGAGACACCATTCAAGTGAAATTGAAAGGAGTAAACTTCTAGTTTGAGAATAACATGGCACTTTCACACACTCTGCATTTTTTTTCTTTTTGAAATAAAAAATCATGTTGACAGCTTAACCTTTCCTACCAGCGCTAACCAAAGCAGCAACATGGCTTACCCACCTCTTATGGCTGCTGTTTTTGTATGATTTTTCATCTCTTTTTATCTTAGGCATGAACCTGGGGCAGAGGGTTGGACAGATCTTGGACATCCCTGGTCCTGCCAATATAGTTTCGATGTAACTGCAGTTGAATCGGTGTTAGACTAAGCAGTCGCATTGCTAGATAACATGAGTGTTATTCATAATAGAACCACACCGCGTTTGTAATCACTCTTCTATGGCTGTAGACTTTCCTGTTTTCTCTGGAGCTCCTCATCTTTTTTTCTCCTGCTTTAACACAATATGAACTGCCATGAACTCAGTTTCAAGCTTGGGCCCGACCCCACTAGGTAACTCTCCTTTTCAAACATGCAGAGAGGGTATCTGTCAGTTCTATCTAGCTGAAGGAACCTTCTGGAATCTGCCTTGACTGGCCAAGCCAGGGCTGACAGCTGTGTCCTGGCTCACTCTGTCAGGGGTCTCTCCCACTCTCTTGCAGACCCCCAGGCTCTGACTCTAGGTTTACTTTCGCCTGTAGGCACAGCCCCGCGCCCAGTTTGAGAAACGGTGTGTGTGGACCTCAAAAGGTCTCATTTTCACTCTCAGTCAAAATGGCTTGGCCAGATTGCAAATCCTATCTTAGAGAATACTTCCTTGTAGAATTCCGGAGGCGTTGCTCTAGCGCCCTCCAGATCCTGATGCTGCCGGGCAGTCTGGAGCCATGCCAATGCCTGCTTCCTGCTGGGATGCTGTGGGGATCTCTCGTGGCAGC